TCTGGTGGTGGGTCAGGTGGAGAAGAAAGATGCAGGGGAGTACAGCTGTGAGGCTGCTGGCCAAAAACTCACCTTCAGGATCGATGTCAAAGGTGAGAGACAGATTTTGTTTTGTATTTCATTGGCTTTTCTTTGTATCTCGGTGTTCCCCCCCATTTTCTCTGACACAGTATTAGAAAAGCTGTTAAAAGTACTTTCTGATGCTGGTCTGAGCTGCTGTTTCAGTGAGGTTGTGTAGGACTGGGCAGATCTGGAATTGACCTGTTCATATCCTGATGTCACCTCCTCACATCCTTGTATGTCTCCTTCAGCTGAGGAAGTGAACATGATTTCTTAATAGCAGACATTGTTAAAAAAATCTCTTCCATTTTGATCACTAGTGCTGGTATTCCTCCTCTTGTTTTGGGTATTCTTCCATGAAAATCACTTGTTTTCCTTTCTTTTTTTCTGCAAGTGGCAGGACAAGAGTGAATGGTCTCAAGTTCCACCAGAGGTTTAGGTTTGATGTTAGAAAAAAATTCTTAACCGAAAAGATTGTCAGGCACTGGAACAGGCTGCCCAGGGAAGTGGTGGAGTCTTCATTCCTGGAGGGATTTAAAAGCCATGTGCATGTGGCACTTGGGGACATGGTCAGTAATGTACCTGGCAGTGCTGGGGGAACAGTTGGACTCAGTGATCTTCCAAGCTTTTTCCAGCCTAAATGATTCTGTGGTTTCTTTGGTCTCTGTGTATTTTACAAGGTATCTGCTGAATTTCACCTCAGGCTCCAGGCAGCCATGGACATCAGCTGTGTTCTCAGTGGTCATTTCTGAACTGGATATTAATAATGGGTTTGGTTGGTTGTTTTAATATTCATAGCACTCCACTGTCTTTACAGCCAAATACTTATTTTTTAATCTTAAAATTCTTGTCTCATACGCAGAGATGATCAGAACAGGGAGGCAGTTTTCACCTCTGTTTTCTTACAGCACCAAACAGAGGTTTGGCATTTTATCAGCTGTGTAGAGGAACAACTGTGTTGGGAATCTCTTGACTCTGCTCTCTATGGGGGTACCCAGGCTGTGAGCTGGGGCATTTTGGCTGTTTTGCATTCTTTGTGTAGCTCATTCTTTGGCTGAGGGAGCTGCCAGTTTCAGTGGAGGATGGGTAAGGAAAGAAGGATAAATAAGGATAGATTTGAGAGGTGTCTTCAGAGAAAATTCAATATGGACATTGACAGACCATCACAAAAACACAGAGCAATTTGAATTGGAAGGGACTTGAAAGATCACCTTGCCATGGGCAGGGACACCTCCCACCATCCCAGGGTACTCCAAGCCCTGTCCAACCTGGCCTGGAACACTTCCAGAGATGGGGCATCCACAGCTTCTCTGGCCATAATTGTTATAAACCAAATTCATTGTTCACTGCTGCCACTGGTTCAAACATTACTGCAGAAGTGTAGTGAGAAAACAGAAATTTAGTGGTTTACACGAGAATTTCTCTCTCTGGGGGAGCTGTCTGCCTCAGAAAGCAAAGGTTTCCAGCTCTCTTTCCAGCCAGGTGACCTCATGGTGGCACAGGGTAATGTGACCCCTTGCCCTGTGCCTTCAGCCTGCCTTAGCTACCGTTGCTGTATTTCTCATGGGGACAACTGTAACACGACGTGCCAGCCCTGCCCTGGCTGGAAAATGATCCAGTGTGAAAGCCAGGAGGGATTATGCGTACTCGGAGTGGTTGGCTCTTCTGCAGCAGAAATCCTTCTCTTACTGGTTTATCTCAAAGTGCAACAGATTTCTGGGTCTTAATTTATCCTGGTGCCATTGCACTTGGAGAGCTTTTCAGGGTTGCTGTACTCGTAGCCCAAAGCCTTCCCTGTTTAAGGACGGGTTGAAGGTTAGATGCTCAGTGTTGAGTTTGGGGATGCCAATGTGGGTTTTTTGGCTTGATATAAAAATAATCAGCTGCTGCACACCTTGGGGCTGAGTTGGACATATAGAAAAAGAGGTGATTCTGAAATCTCAGTATATTTCAGGGTTCAGGGTATGCAGCGAAATCCATATTTTAAATCAGTGAAAGTTTTGTGTCCTGAAAATATTTTTCCTCATTTCCACTGAAACTTCACTAACTAGTTTCATTTATGGTTGGAAATGTCATCTTCACTGAATAGTTGTTTAAATTTAAAATAAGTGTCTAAAAGAAATTATCAACTGGTGTAAATCACTTTGGAAGCTGATTAAAAGTTTTAGTCACACTTCCTATCAGTATAAAAATGGTTTATATGAAAGGTCAAGAATGGAAAGGACAAGTGAGATGAGTCTGGAATATTCCTGCCCTGCTAGCCTGACATTTTAAATACAGCCCTCATGGACACACACTTTTTTTATAACCCATTGAATACACTGCATATTCACATTCAAAGTTGTAGATGGGAGTTTAAATAATAAATATTTCAACCAGTTTTGAATGCAAAGTTTGGTGTATGCTTGAGCCCTTTCAGATGTCCTTTTGAGGAGCTTTGCATCACCCAGCATAGCCCCTGTGCCTTCTAAATGACAATGACACCTCCTCACACCCCTTCTACAGCCAATATAAGCACAGGAGCTCCAATTCAGAGCCCCTAAGCTGGATTCCTGCTCCGTGTTGCTCCCTGCAGGGTAACTCTCTTTCCATGGACTGTGCAATATTCATAGCAGGGCTGTGATGTGCCCCAGGACCACGTGTGTTCAGCAGTGGAGGAGCTCGACCTGATCTTACCCCTTCTCCTCACCCTCCCAGGCAGCTGCTGCCACTCAGAGCACAGAGGTGATGGAGACAGGGGAAAGTCATCCAGGAGGAGCCAAGGGTGGCCCCAGGAGGCTGCAGGGAGTGGCTGGGGAGAGGAAGGCACTAACACAGGGGATGAGAGTGGCTCAGCATCCCCGAGAGCCTCCCAGCTCACAGAATCTCTGAGGTTGGAAAAGCCCTCCCAGACCATGGAGTCCAAGCTCTGCCCAACCTTGTCACCATCCCAGAGCCCTGAGTGCCACATCCAGGTGTTCCTTGGACACCTCCATGGATGGGCACTCCAAACCTCCCTGGGCAGCTCCTTTCAGTGCCTGACCACCCTTTCCATGAAGAAATTCCTCCTGGTGTCCAACCTGAGCCTCCTCTGGCACAGCTTGAGGCTGTCTCCTCTCATCCTGTCTCTTGTTCTCTGGAAGCAGAGCACGACTTCCCCATGGCTGCACCCTCCTTTCAGGAGGCCAGTTTGCTGGAAAATCACAGATTTTTTAGCAAATTAAAATACATTTCAAGTTTTATATCCTAGTTTTATGTGTAATGTTCGTCAAGTGCTTTTCCCTGTTGAGAACTGTGTATTTGTCCTCTCTTTGGGATTGGGTTACAAGGTGTTTCCTGAGCAACATCCAATTTTGATCTAAAATACTTGGTAAAATCCTCTAAATAATGTGCAGTGGAGGTGGAAACTCACCGTTGTGCTACATTTTGCTCATTCCTAATATAGGGAGTAGAAATACCATAAAGACACAAGAGAGAATTTCATCTTTACATGCATTGTAAGAAATTTGCAAATGGAGTGGTTGAGCTTCTCAAGAAGACGAGTCAGAGAGAGATGACAATTACATGGACTATATTTTGAGGGTACATTACTTTATTTAGATGCAAAGCTGTGTTACTTACAAGGGCTTAATATTGAATTATTTATGTTGGAAAAGACCTTTAAGATAATCATGTCCATTGGGCAACCAGCACTGCCAAGTCTGAGATCCTGCAGAGCATCTACATCCCATACAAGTAAGAACTTCTTGACACAAGACTTTTATATCTTATATAATTTCCCCCTTG